ACATTAATAGGGTTTATCTTTATTGTAGTTAATACATAGACTTATAAGATAGACTGCGCGTCCTATTGTTCTCGGTGGGGCAGAAGCTAAAGTGAGAGGGCTACACCCCGCACTTCTCTTGTCCTTGTTCAATCGTTGGTGGGGGGAAGAAAAGAGGGGAGACCCTCGAGAATTCCGAGTCGACACGGCTGACGGTGGCCGGCGCGGCGGGGGTCTCCCCTCTTTTCTTCTCCCCACCAACGATTGAACAAGAACAAGAGAAGTGCGGGGTGTAGCCCTCTCACTTTAATTAGCTTCTGCCCCACCGAGAACAATAGGGCGCGCAGTCTATCTTATAAGTCTATGAGTTAATATTATAAAATCTCAGAGGGGAAAAACGCGCAAAGGGAAGAAGAATGTAACGGAAATATATATTTAGGTACTTTGATATATTAATTAGGTACTCTGGTATATTTTCTAATATATTTTTAGGTATTCTGCCACCAGAAATGTGGCAGAGCATGCTGACAGGGAAATCTGTAGCAAATTGACGACAGAAATGCAGCAAAAGCGGTATAGTGATCTAACAGCAAATTAATTTTTTTCAAAATTTTATAATTACAAATAAAATATAACTAAACTATACTTACTTTAAAAAATATATCAAAATTATTCTTTACCGAAACTCACTCTTAACCTCTATTTACTTTTCTATTCACTTCTCTATACACTTCTCTATCACTCTCTACTTCTCTACACTAATACAATTGTGACACACTATACATATATGAATATTCAAGATGGCGATGAAATGTTGCAAATTCTTCCGTTCGGCGAACTTGGCAGCTTACGGAACATTTTTCGTGACCAACTTTTTACCATTTTACCTTTGTCGTTACGTCTCCTTATTCATACTTCATGAAATCCACATAGAAATCTACATGGATTTTTTAAACATATGAATTGAGATATATACAGGGTGTCTCTTAATAGGTGTATCACCGCTCATGGGTAGATAGAATGGACTAAACTGAATCGAAAAGTCCTCTACCATTTTACAAAATTCGCAATATTTAACAAGATATTAATTTTTGAATATTGCCGAATAAGCGAGTATCCATTCGGCGAGTCCGGCCCA